GGCTTAGCTGCCGGCGGCGAAAAATCTGTGTCACTAAGGAAAAATAAAGCCTAAAACTTCTCCTGTATTAGCAAGGGAGTGGGGGAGGTGGGCGCGAAGGGACGGCCGGGTTTTATCTCCCGGAGCAGCAATCTGAGGATGGCGCTCCCACGCCTCACCAGAAGATTGAGGTATCGTGAGAAAGTTCTTACCGGGGCTGTTCATAAGTTTAATCTTTGGCTACGCGCTGGCTGCCGTTGCATGCTCTGCCGGCAGTTTTTGTTGTATGTTCTTAGTAAGACCACACACTAAAGTACATAAAAGCATTGAGATTTAGGAATTTGTGATGCTTCCCATGACTCCAGAGGCACCCAGAAACGCACTGTGAGTAGAAGTGGGACGCTGCCTGTGGGAGGGCGGTTGTATCACACTGACAAATGCGGTGCATCAGAAAAGCTGTCTGGGGCGTCCAGCTGCCTTCTTCCAGTTACAGCTATGTATTTCGACACCAGGTAAAGACAGGCTTAATTAGTCGAGCTGCTGTATACACAGTAAGAACCACACCATCCTTATCAATAATAGTTGTCTTAGAAAAGTAAAAAATTCCATACTGCTGTGTCCAGCATTACAAAGACAATGTCAGCTTGAGCAGCATTAGTTATTTCTTTTAAAATGTAAAAAGTGTATAAGCATCTACATGCTTTGTCTACATTTCAGACCGTCCATTCTGAGGTTTATCATTTGGAAGGCCAGTGCATGTGTGCAGATAACAACAAAGAGCTTGCAAAGAATAGAGAGAAATGCATATAATGCACTAAAAGTATGACTATAAATAAGGAAGTTCGTATTTTATTCTATTTTCCCATGTATTTATAGCCCTATCAAATTACAGTGAACTAGGTTGTGTGTTCTGTGAAGCTAATCTACTTCTAATGTAAACTAATTTCTAAAATGACTTTTAAGTACTTTTGGTGGCATTCTCAACATCATTTTTATGAATAGCATTTATGTCGTGTACATTTGAATGATACAGAATACAAACAGATTGATAAATAGCATGTAACCTAAATGTTTATGGGTAAATAATAGAAACAAAAATAAATGAAGAAATAGAAATGAAGAATAAATCAGGAAACAGAAATCACGACAAAAGGGAAAGTGAATATAGAGAAAAAATTAATAATACTGGGTAGAGGTATTTACTAAGTATCTCGTAAGTCTTTACTACATATCTCATAAGTCTTTCTAACTGTCAAAAAGCAGTTTTCCTTGCTATCAAGGAGCAGATGGAGAAAACTGTTCAGAGTAGTCATCTTGTTTAATCCTTTCTGTTTATTTTTTTTGCCTTTGGTCTCTGATTATTATTGCCGAAAGTGAAGTGAGAGGAAATGCGATTTCATTCTATGTGTTTTAATCTGGATTTTATTTATTTCCAGTTTAAATTCTCTGCCATACTAGACCACTTTTGTGGTTCTTGTTTAGAAAAAAAAAAAAGGTAATCGTGTCTTTTTGTTCTTAAAGCAATTGTGAACAGATCAGTTCCAGATGTCTGTGCCACTTGCCACATTCATGCAACATGTCATCAAACTGAGGGAAAAAGCGTCTGCATCTGTAACTATGGGTTTGTAGGCAATGGAAGAACCCATTGTCAAGGTAAGCTGCCAGTTTGTAAAATGGCAAGAAGCTGTGTATGTTCACAAAATAGTCTGTCTTGAATAAAGTAACTGAATTCTTTAAAACGCAATAAAAGCTTGGTCACTTCCTGGCAAAATTTTCAAAATATATTGTGTGTGTGGATTGAACAGCTAGCCAGGAACTGTGCTTTACTTGTTTTTCATGTAAATATTGTTTTCTACTTAGTTGCTTATTAATAAACAGTTAATTCAGTTTTTGGTATGTAGTGAAGGATTTAAATTAGTTTTGTCTTAGAATATGTAGGGGTTTATGGAACATCTACTTTATCAGGATAATGTATTGGAATAGTTTATTTAATATTTTTTATCCTAGGCTTCACTTCATTATTCTTATCTATGCATCATTGAATTGAAAACTAGACAATAAAACTGACAGTTAAATTAGAACATTTTTGCTGATTTTTCCGCTGATCTCAGCTTGGTGGGTACATGAAAATAAGTTTGAGGCCTGTTCTTAGTAACAGTGTGCGTATGTACACAGGTTTTGTGAGTGCAAATGTCTCTGACATGGAAAATGTTCAGTATTGCTTTATTATTGTAGCTGGTAGTGTCCTTTTGGTACTGTCTCGCACGTGACAAGCCAGTAGGTGAACCAACAGGTGATGTGAAATGCTGTGTCTGGGTGCATGTAATAGCTTTCCACTGCTTAAAGGGGTGGGTCCTTCACCTCTCATCTCTTCCACTCCATCTCTTCCTGTTCCTTCACAAGTGCTGACAGCTGCTGGGCCCTGCACAGAGTGCAGTTACCTCATTATTGTGGAAGAAGACAAGCTGCATATTTTGCCATGTTAATTCTCTGACAGTTGATCAGGTTGGGTAAGATCAGCACCAGCTCCACCCAGTGTTGCAGCCAGTGCCTGCCATAAGGAAGAGCAGAAGCAGAGAGCAGAGCCCTCTGGTTTCAACAGCTCTGGGGTCAACTCAAGCTGTGTCATGGAACTTTATTCACAGTTTCACCCAGGAACAACCAGCTCTGTTGGTCTAAATACTCCAGCTTTGCTAGCAATGTTTACAACCTGAATAACTTAGAAAGAAAAACAGTAAGGGGAAGTCTGGTTACACAAGAATGAGTGAGGAGAGGAGGATACTCTGCTTCTCCTGGTCTCTCTCTGACGTGTTTTAAATGTGCTGACAGATAAAGACGAGTGTCAGATCGGAGCCAGCAAGATCTGTGGAAATCATACACTGTGCCATAATACACATGGAAGTTTTTATTGTGTTTGCCTTGATGGATACCGAGCCTCCAATAACAACAAAACATTTATTCCTAATGATGGCACAAACTGTACAGGTAGATGTAACAAAGAATTTTAATTTTCTACTGCACAGATCTTTCCTGTAACTTTAGAACTTACTTTCTAAAACTGCATCAGAGCACTTTCTGCTCTAGATACAAACGCTTCCTTGACTTGCAGGTTCTAACAGCTATGCATTAGTTCCCTTTTGTGTTCTTTGAAGAAAACAAGGTGATACTTATCTGTCCCTCAGAATGTCATGTTTGTGTGTAGTGTAGAATATTAGCCAGTTCCTTGTTACAGCATTGAACTGTTGGAACTGATTAAGATATTTGCAGATAGAGGATTTTTCTGGGATTATTGTAGCAGGAAAAAACATTGGAAACTATTTGTCAGGTATAACAGCAAAAAATTAAAATATGCCTGGCTACAAAGTTGAGAATCTTCATCTTTCAGGTACTTGAATATCAGACAATGATAAGCTACTTAGTTTCCCTGAGGAGACATCATAAATTATATAGAACTCTTCATGGAATGCTAGATTTGTTTTATGCTTGAGTCCCACATTAATTAATGAAAAAAATATCAAGTGCATATATTTTTCTCTTAATTTTTAGATATAGACGAATGTGAGGATTCTGGACTGTGTGGTCACAATGCAAGATGTGTGAATACTGAAGGAAGCTATAAGTGTTACTGCAAGGATGGTTATAAATTAGAAAATGGAGAGAGTTCTTTTCATCCAGATGGGAACGTGGGTTCATGCAAAGGTAGGAGTCTTTAGATGCTTTTTGTGCTAGCAGATGAAATCAAATCTTACATGATACAGTAGTAGCTGCTCTGACCTGTGCTTTTATGTCTGCAGGGCAGATGCCCTCTCTGTGGACTTTGCCTGCCATGTGAATTTTTTCTTCTTGGGTTCAGTTTGTTCCAGTGGTTTCTGAATAATAGAGCTGACACAAGACACTTGTTTCTACAGGCTCTTAGCAGTGGTTTAGGTGTGCAGGGTCAGAGGAGCTTACTAATGTAATGAAGGTGGTGGGAGTTAGTTTCTGAGTAGGACTGAAGTGTGGTATAATCCACTTGCTTGTATAATCACACTGCGTGAAGGGGAAGAGAAGAGAGCATAAATAGCAGGTAAGAGAGGTCAGTTGAACGAAACAAGCCTATGGAAGAGGAATAATAAAATAATAGTTTAGCTGTTTCTCATATACTGTGCAAGACTGCTCTGTTTACCTTGCCATGACAACCAAAAATCCCATATGAAACCATTCTTTGTTTCCTCTCTGGTGTAGATTTTCACGGATGTAAAGTGCTAACAGTGTAAGCTGTAGCTGTCATGGTATGTAATGAACCCAGACATCACAGCTGGAAGGAACTGCCTTGGTTATATCCAGATCTCATTTCTGAATTATTGAAAGAATCATCAGTAAAGTTAACTAATAAACTAAAGTTCGTCCAGCGTTTCCAAATGGAGTGCTCTACTTCATTTTGCCAAAATGGCTGATAAACTTGGCTTACTTCACTGACTTCTCTCTCTACATGCTGTGGTAAAGTAGGATGTCTGTACTGACTGTGTCACTTGTGGAGCTGGACAAGGAAACCCTATCAAGCAGCTGTGCTGGAGGAATGTAGCTTTTGAATGCAGGCTGGTTCAGTGAGATGGGGAATTGAGGGGCAGAACATTTCATTTCAGGCTATCCATGGTGCTTCATCATTCCCGTGCACAGCAAAGTAAAGCTGTGCCTTAGGGCCTGAAATTTTCCTCAGGTGTTGAAGGATCATTCAGCCATCGCTGTAATGAGACCAGCACATGCAAAGCACCACTGCATTGCGGGGTCTGCTCTTGGGTGTATACACTGGTGAAGATGGAGCTCAATACCTCGATTGCTGTGTACTTCCAGCTGTGGCCAGTACAACTCTTGCAACTCTATTCTTCTATGGCTTTGGCAACCCCTCTGACACATCAGATTGGGTATATTGTGTGATCTGACCATCCCGTTCATCTCTTTTTAAAGTGGTCATGTGTTGTGACTTTTGTACAACTTTGTACAGATGTTTTAACCCAGTCTCTTTGCAGAGGTTGGATGTGGCTCCCCTCCTGAAATGAAGCATGGCTACATAGTGGGGAACTACAGCTTGCTACCAGGAAGTGCAGTTCATTATGAATGTGAAGAGGGGTTCTACAGTGACAAGGGAAATTTCTCATATTGCACTGCTAATGAAACTTGGGAACCTGCCACTTTAAGCTGTCAAGGTGAAAAGAGTCTTAAATGTTTCTTAAATTCTTTACTAAGGTTGTTTATGCATGGGAAGGCAGTAGGCTGTCTCCTCAATCTGTGGGATAATTTTTCAAGATCTGGCTATCTGCAAAAAAAAAAAAAAAAAAAAAGAAGAAAAGGAGAAGTTATAAAATTGTAATTGTGCCACCTCTTCTTCTTAGTGTTTTTGATCCTGGTCCTTGCATTTTTACAGACACTGCAATATGTCCTTGTGCGTGTGAACCAAGGCCTAGACAACAACTGCATTTCTGTAGCATTTCATGGGAAAGGCCACTGAGTAGGAAGGCATCAATGGCCTCTCATGAAAAGAACAATTTTACTGACAGCTTGTGAAGTTCTTTTCTAAGGTTGGGTGTAGATGCAAAAGAGAGGTATCAGATCACTCCTTATTTCTGGATACTCTTCAGATTATAAGAGCATTTGTACATGACTAAATGCTTCACATCTCTGAAGTGTAAAGTTTCCTGTGAGCATCTTTAAGCTTGCTTGGATGTTCTAATTGCTCATTCTCTTGAAATATGACTGCTTACAAGTGCAGGCCTTACAAAGTCTGTTTGCTAGCTAAGGGATATGTGAAGTGCTTGCTGACAGGAGCTACACTATGGGTAACAATGCTATGGGGGAGCACAGTCATCCTGAAAATTATCGCTTAATGAGGAGAGCTCCTTCTCTCCATATACAAAAGTCCTACTGATTTCTAGTTATTTTTCCTCCCCCTCCCCTCCTTTGAGAGTGATAGAAATGTAATTGTTTTGTGTGTGTAGGTGGATGTGAATAAGTTAGAATAAGGATGCTAAATCAGTGTGGCTGTGAAAAGTATAATATTAACTATCACTAGAAAATTTATAAAAAAGAAAATATAAACCAATTTAATATTAAACTACTGGCATAAAAAGAAAGACAATTGAAATAAGATTTTTCCAACAAAGTAAATAAAGGCTGATGAATTTGAAAACGAAGTACCCAAATTCTCAAGAGGTCCCTGAAGAAAGCTTGTGGAATGCACTCATTGGTATATGAATATTTTATTAATATTTTTCAGTGTTTGCTTTTTTCATGTGATTAAAGTTTCTGAGCACATCTCTAATGACTAATTGAAATAAAATATATCAAATGCCAAAAAACAGCCCATGAATCTGAAATGAAAAACTTATTTCTCCTCTGTATTGCAAGCTCTTCCCTGGATTTCAGTCAGGACTTCTCTTCTTGCAAAACCAGCAAGTCTGTTTTTTGTTTTGTTTTGTTTTGAATATTTGTAAAGGCACCTTAATATTAGTAAAGGCACCTTTAAATAGTTCTTCAAACTCTGAGAGTGTCCCTGATAAATGTATATCACTAATATAAGAATCTTTTTATGGCCAGGTGTAGTGTCTTTGTTTTCAGGAGAAAACTGTTTTGCTTTTTTGTCTTTCCTCTTACAGCAGTTTAGGAGTCTATTTTATACAGTTATGATGAAAATGGCCGTTGAGGGTAGGTCAGACTTGGTAAGATGTGTAACATTAGGATACTGGTAGAGCAGATCCTCTTTTTTAAAAAAAGTCAATATAAGTATATGGATGTAAATGTGTCTTTGAAGAGTATAGCTTCCCTTGAATATTAGTAAAAGAGTTGTCTGGAGAAGTCAGATAGTTTAGTGGGAAGATGTGATATATGTGAAGAGGTGTAGTTAAACTGCTGAATGTGAGTGTTGTGTCTTACTAACATGAAAGCCTTTTAGATGATTGCTTACCTTAGAAAATCAACAGTGTATCAAACAAGTTACATTTTTGTGCTGCTTGACTTCTTTGTTTCATGCAGGTGTAAATGACAACTCGTCATGCTTGTGAAGAGGCCAACTGTTACAGGGCATTTTGAACACCAGTGAAAAAAAGTGAAGTGGTACTTGCTGGGACAGTTAATTTCTCTTCCTTAAACACTTTGATATGCCTTGCCTATTTTCGTTTTCAGGTTTTGTTACCTTGGTTTTTCTGTTTCAGAAATAGACTGTGGCAAACCTTTGCTGATACCACACACAGAAATGATCTGGGACAACTCTACCACTCCATGGAGCAGAGTGTACTATCAGTGTAAAGAAGGATATTATTTCAATGGAGGCAGGAATTTCTCAGAGTGCACAAGAGACCGGTCGTGGGAGAATATTACGTACATATGCAAAGGTAAATACTACTGTAGGAGGTTGCTGTGGTGTGTGCTATTTGAGTGGTTTCTCATTCCTGTTCTGAAGGTAGGAACAGAAGGAAGGTGAAGGCAAGACATCCCTTTCTAATTTATGGGGGAGGGAGTGTGGTGGTACTTCAGGACGGAAGAGTCAGGAAAGATAATGTTAACCATGACAGGAGTTTCTAGTGGATGCCATAGATCTTTCTGTAGCTGTTGTACTTTGTTTCAGACAGAAAGGCACTAATGCAGGTAGGGTTTCATTGCTGTGCTGAGAACCTTCAGCTTTAAAAGCCAGAGGAACATCACCAGATGTGTAGAAGGTATTTAATGATGCTTTGTTGTGGGCTGAATACTGCAATGAAAGTAGGGGCAATGGATTTCAAAACTCATTTCTTTTTTTTTTCTCTCTCATTATGCCCAAAGTAAGATTTGTTCCTGAATGCTTTTCCAGTCTAGATCTCATTGTCTGAATGTCAGCATTCACTGTGAATATAAAACGTGTGACATCACATAAAAATGAGCATGCAGGAAAGCACTTCTCTTGCTTTTTATAGTGCCCTGATAAAAATGGAACTGCTGTTGTTAAAGTCATCATTCATATTTCATTTAGGCAATTTGCATAGCTGTACTTTCTGAATAGTTTTTGAAGCCAGCATTGTGTCAAGTGGCTAAGTTAACCAATTATGTCAGCTGTTGCAATACCAGGAGTTCTGCCTTGAACACTCTGAAGCTTTGAAGGCCCTGAACCTGAAGACTGCACTCACAGGCTTACCATGGATTTCAGCAAGATCATTGCCAGAGGCAAAAATGTAGTTTTAGATGTTGGAGCAGAGGGACCAAATAGTCAGTTATGGTCAAGTAGAATTGAAAAAAAACTTTTTAAAAATAACCTAAAGCTAGTCCAGAGTCCTTTGAGGGGGTGGGGGAGGGAGAGTAAAAGGGGGTGGGAAATCAGTACAAAGGTGTTCAGCTTCTTAACATCTCCATTTTTCACACTAGTAGAGGTAACAAATGACTTTCAAATGAAACTAAATATCTGTTTCAGTAATGGTGCCTTTTAGATGTATGTGATCTTAAGAATGTGTGTCATTAATCAGTAATTTCCATTAAAATGGGATAAAATCATGTACCATTCCAGAATAACTCTTGATAAAAGTCAGAAACCATTTTTGTTTCCTTCCCGCCTGAAGAACCTAATTCAAAGTAAGGAAATGTGGAATTTCTCCATAGCAAATAATAATTTCTTCATTTCTTAGGCAGTGGTTGCTATGGAATGGCTTTTATTTGTATATAGTAAATGTATGTGTGTATATATATATATATATATATAAGAACATGTAGTAGTAGCTGGTTTAAATATTTCAAAATTTCTCAGCAGAATTAATTTTACGTTCTACTGTTATCAAACTTTCTCTGTTTTCCTAGTCCCAAGTCCTAGAGATACCCTTGTTGTGGAGAGCTTTTTCACAACAACTGGTCTATCCTTTCTGTAACAGGTAGCTCTAGTCCCAGCTATAAGCACATAGGCTGGGTTGGCTGCTGCTTATTATTCTGATCCTAGAAAACTTATCTTTGTCTGTTTCCTTAGGAGTTTGTTAGTATTCAGTGTGTTTAGCATCTCTTGATGTGGATAGCAACAATATGGTGTCTTAAGAAGGTCTGTCCAATTTCCTTCTTTTATCCAAGGAAAATAAAATACAAGTGTTCATTAAAGAATAATTTAGTAGTATTTAAATGTCTCCAGTACCACTTCACTATACTACTAGAAATGAATTTGTGAAAATGTTTTTTGATATATTAAGTGAAATATTGTCCTTGCAAAAGAAGCAGTTGCTGCAAATGGGTGGGAAATGTCTGTGGTTATGTAAAAAGGCTGGAGGAGGGGGTGAGTCTGACCTACATGGAAAGGTAATCCACATTATTGGTAAAGCGTTCCGAAACTCAGGTACTGGGAAATAGCTGTTGTAGTCAACAGGGAACATTGACATCTGTGTCCCTTTGATGATGAGTGTGACAGCACAATAATCTTATTGGTCAGTCTTGAGAGTATTCCAAAGTAGTGTTAGGCTTAAGGACTGTCAGCAGATTACAGAACCACAGAGTCACTGAATTGTTATGGTTGGAAAGGACCTTTAAGATCATAGAGTCCAACCACTATCTAACTCTGCACCATACCCCTGAGCACCCCATCCAGACCTGGTGTAACTTAATACCATTTCCTCTTGTCCTGTCAGTGGCAGCAGGTAAGAAGAGGCCAACACCCATCTCCCTACAACCTCCTTCCAGGTAGCTGTAGAGAGCAATAAGGTCTCCCCTCAGCCTCCTCTTCCCCAGGCTAAACAACCCCAGTTCCCTCAGCTGCTCCTCATAAGGCTCATCCACAAGACCCTTCACCAGCTTTGTTGCCCTTCTCTGCACCCTCTGTAGAACTTTACTGTCCTTCTCGTCCTGTGGTGCCCAGAACTGAACCCAGCACTCAAGGTGTGGCCTCACCAGTGTCAATTTCAGAGATGGGAAATTTTTACCCCCTGCTGTAAAGATCTTCAGCGACTGTGGCTGAAATAGATTAAAGTCAACCATGAAACTCTAGCTGACCTGAACAGGTCCAGGCAGCTCAGACTCCAGAGGTGTGTAAGAAAGTCAGCACTTTACAGATGGACCCAAACACAAAACCATCACCCACATCCGGCATTGATACTAATACAGAACTGGACAGTTTCTCTTTGTTTACACTATTGTCTTTTAAAAGTTCCTGTTCTGTGTTCATGTTTTTGCTCACAGAGGAGGAATTACTCAGTAATTTGTCCATATTCAATGAAACATGTGTGAAGTGGCAAAGGAAGACAGGAAGACTGGGAGTGCAGGAAACTTACACGGTAAGTGGGGCAGTATTTGAGATTGGGGGTAGCTTTGTTCTGGTTAATTCTGGTGAGTCAGCAGTGGAGATTTCTTTTTTGAGTTTTGTGCAGTAATCTGCCTTACTTTTCCCAGTGAACTGCCTGGAAAGCTGAAGGTGGCTGGGTTAAGAAAGAAACAAATCCTGTCCTAAATTTTGGTGAAAAAATCAACAGTTGTTGGGGTCCCTTTCCAGTAAGACACCTAAATATCTGCAGGAAGCTGTAAGAAGTTTTTCATCACAAGTTCATGTTTTAGTGAAATTGTGGTATAGAGCTCGAGGTCGCATTGAGATAAGAAACACTGCAAAACTTGGACTCTGTGCCTGGCTGTGATACAAACATTTCAGATCAACAGTGTATCACTTGCAGATACCAAATGTCTGTTGTTTTAGAAATGCAAGGTATATTGAACAACGTGCCTTGCTCAACAGATTAAACCATCTTATATTTGAACATTTGAGAGCTGTTTCTCATGGGAATTTAAAGCAACCTTGGTGCCTACTGTTTTTTTTCTCTGCCATCTATAAACGTAAGGCAAAAGTTGAGATATAAATTCTCAGAAACAAATAGTTTCATCAGTGTTCTCAGAAACCAAAACAACGTGATAAGGTTTCCCATGTTTTGAGAATGACAGCATCCCAAAAAAGGCTGGTTTTTTTTATCCTGTACAAATGGGGAAAAAAGAAAAAGAGTGTTGCAGTGTGCCTCCTGGAGACAGAGGTTTCTGTTGCCTCTTTGTCCCCAAACATGGGCACACATCCAGAATTTTCCATCTTTCCCAGGTTGTGGTTGGCTTAGCCACCACAAGACCAATCCCCTAACACCCATTGGACCCCTGACCTGTCGGTAACCCATCCAGGTATCCTTACAGGACAATGCCTTTGTAAACCCACCTGCCTACCTGTTAAAAACCCCTGGCCCCAAGGCCACATGCTCTTTCACTTCTCCCCTGGAGTGGGTGCTGTTTCAGTGCCTGCCTCAGGTGTTTCTGTTTGTTATTTTCATGTTATTAAAACCTTTTATTTTGGAAGAAAGCGATCGTTGCCCATCCCTCCTTTACTCGCCACTGCCCTCCTCTTCACTGACGACCACCCTGGAGGTAATACGGGGGTCCCGCTGGGGCTGTTTTCTTCCCGGGCAAAACCAGCGGGTTTGAAACCCCTCCAAAATATATTTTTGATAAGTTATAAAAGAGGATTAATTAGGATCTTCAGGGTCAGTAGATTGATATGAAAATTATGTTCCAAGGTTGGATGATAATTTTGGAAAACAACCTGTCTTTGTTATGCTGTTTTATAAACCAGTGTATGTTTAGTTAGAGTAGCACTGCTGTGATGGAAAAAACAAGTTCCCAATTACCCTAACAGTTCAGAACCAGTGCTTCTCAGTGGTAGCTGGTGAGCTGGCTATCGCCAGTGTAACTTGCCCCGTGCAGCTGATTTTGCCTGTATTCAGATACCTGCAAGACATTTCAGAATAGTCAGAACTGAGAATAGTGTAGGTGCATGCAGTAAAGTTCAGCTTTGAGCTGAACTAGGTGAGTCTGTCCCATCATCTCATACAAACAATAGGTTTCTTTTTAACTGTGCTGGGACAATCTTGGGGAAGCTTGCCTTTCACTGCTCTTTGGCATCCAGTCTTACTGCTGCTTCTGTAGGGCAAGGTGGGGGGGGACTAGAAAAAAGGAAAGAAAGTAGCAAGCAGATGCAGTGTCCATCTGTGTGCTGTAAACAAGAATAGTAGTTACTGACACCTTCCTATTTGTGTTGTAGGTGTTTATAGGGTACACTTTACAGACTCCTGCTATTTGTTCTAGAAATATATGAGAAATATGAGTAATTTTAACAGTCAGAAGAGATTGGAGATCTAATTTATTAAGCCAGCTTGTTGCACCAAAACAGTTAGTCACAAGCCTTTTTTTTTTTTTAAATTAAGTTGATACTCTAAAAGAGATGTAATCTGAGGTTTCCACAGCTGAATTAAACTAATATTCTGAATTCTGGAGAGCCACAACTGATTGCACCATTGTTTTTGTTAATATTTCCATAGTTTCATATACTGGGTCAAAGATGGGATGAGAAGACGTTTTCAGAAGATGCAGTATTTAACATCACTACCAGTGAAGATAATCCAAAGGTGTGTTTAGATCTCAACTCTGGCAGTAACTATGTGGTGAATATTACTACCATCTCTTCTGCAAACGTCACTGTCTCGGTTACAGTAGCAGTTCAAACAAAGGGTAGGTTGTGTTTTGTATTCTCTGTGCTTATAGAAAACTGTGCTGCAGAGTTCATTGTTTTGAGTCTAGCAGGCTGTCTCCTAGACTATGAAGTTTTTTGTGCACTGCACACATACAGCCACCATCAGCACCCCCTTTGTCTGTAAGACGTTTTTCTTTCTGCTTGCTGTGGCCATTTAATATATGAGCAGAGCAGTAGCAGTATGTGCCCTTCAGAAAGATTTGGCAAACCTGTTTCTTCAGGATTTGTCTTCTGGCTGAGGCAGGACTGGTGCAGCGACATTCCTGGCTACATGCTGGAATTTCAGTCCAAAGTACAGTGCTTACTGGTTTCCATTTCTTGTCTTGAAAAGTGATTCTGTGCCTGTGGGAGAATTCCCTGCTGCTGAGAGGTGTGATATTAATCTAAGTGATGTGAGCACTATGGATAGGGTTCCCATGTTCAGCAGTGATGTGTAGGGTTCTGGCAGTTTTTCAGTAACTGTAGAGAAGGCATGTTCTACAGCAGGTTTCTGTAGTATTTTGGTCATGGAAATTTTTAAGTTTGCCTTCTGATGTACTAATTCTGATGAGATAGACCTTGAGAAATAATTGCCTTTGGAATCCACAAAAATTCTTTTTCTCACTTGCTTTTTCCTAAAAGACATCAACTGTGCCAAATTGTGCTATGGTAACTTTATTTCCATCAGAAGGTCTGAACCCCTGGGTCTTCTATCATCATAGTTTCCCTAGGTCTGCACAAATAAACCCTACCTTGATTCCCTGAATATCATGCTTGGGTTTTTCAAAAGCCATTTTCCCTGGGAAGTATTCATGCTTTACTTGCTGTGTTTGTTCATTCCAAAAGAAATGCGATTCTATATCCTTCTCAGAAGAGAATTAAAATAAAACATTTTTTTTTTATTTTCAGGTACTCTTAGTCAATTAAGGTGAAGTTTTTGTAATTAGTTGTTGCTTTTTTTTATTGTCTCAACAGTAAAGGAAGCTTTCAATAATGTATTAATTTTTAATGATACCTGCTTGAAATGGTGGAGAAATGTCAGGGGAACTGATGAGAAAGACAGATACTCAGTAAGTGACTATCGGTGTTTTGAATCTAGAAAATAATTTATATCAACCATATATGTGGAAAAAAGCTGTAATTCTTCAAATGCTTACTGCTATCAGTGTTCCATGTTCTAATAATGTCCCTCATGAAAACCCAGGGAGTAAGCTTGCACAGCAAACTTCAGAGGAGAAAAAAAAAAAACAAACCATACTCTTTAGTATACTTCTATTTCTTGGTTATTTTTACCCCTCTTCTACTCTGTTTTGCCTTCCCTAACTTTACTTTGAACTGTGTCATGTTCAGACCTCAGACAACTCTGTTGCAATTCACAGGGTCAGTCCACTCTGTCTTGTCATTTGCCTTCAGTCTTCTCTCCTTCCAGCAGGGCAAGTCTACGTGAACCATCTCTGCCAGGACGCTTGACCACCTGTTCTTGTCTCAATTCCCTGAGTGCTAAGAGGTGCTCAGAGGTTATCTAAAGGCATAGGATCTATTTAAAGTAAAATTAGCACGTGATTAAAATACAACAAGTATTTTAGTTGTCACTAACAGAGGAATCATCAGAAAAGGCTTTAAGCGAATAGCTTCATGATCACTTGGGATAGCAGCATCAAAACAAAACACATG